TTTTTTTTGGTTTTGGCCGCGGGAGGGGCACATGTCGGTACGGTACCGGTGCAGTGAGTGCTTGCACACGCGAGGTACGCAACGTCAACTCCGCGGAAATCCGCAGCTTGGATCAAGCTGCAAGCTGGGTCCAGATCATGCATGCATGCAGCAGCAGCAGCAGCACTCACACTCCACGAATACCCACCACTCACACAGAAGAGACTCCCTGCAACGACGACGAATCGTGACGTCGACAGTCACGAGTGCGACTGCTAGCAGGCGCATGCACGATCTCCACAACTCCCTTGGGTCGAACTGAAATTTGTTAAAGCTTGCACCGTGCTGCTCCACAAGGTTTGGTCCAAGGGTCTATACACCTGCACACCTGCACACCTGCAATGTCGCGTCAAGCCTTGATACGCTCCTTCTACGCCAAGCTGGACGAGGGCCTGCAAGGAGGAGAATTGGAGCAAGCGGAGCGACGAACAACGTCGCTTATTGCAGCCTTGGAAGCTGACAGCAGTGCCCGAGCAGCACGTCACCAAGCCGGCGCCGGTCTCATTTCTCTGAGCGCACGCTTAGCATGCGAATCGTGAGTCGAGACTTTCGAGGACCTGTCAAGGCTGACTCGCTGACTGTATGCTGCTGCATTCCCCTCCCAAAGGCTGTCCCTCTCCGTAGATCCGACAGCCTTTGAAAAATCGTCTGGATTGCGACCTGTGGTGTTCAAGAGCTGTCTCTCGGAGCTGCGACCACTAGTGAAGAAGATCTTGAGCGCCTCAACCGCCTCACCTCGTTCGTCGGGCAGAGTGGTCAATGGCTCTGCTCAGAGTTCGCCGGTGAATGCGTCAGGTCAATTGGGTGATCGGAGTCCGGAAGCTCTCAAGGCCAGAGCAGCAGCGATACAAAGCGGTGCAGCTTTCGGCAGAGGATCCTCCCTCGACCAATCAAGCGCTGCTTCCACGCCGTCTAGAAGAAGTGCTGCCCTTGCATCACCACCTTCCGCTCGAGTCGCTCACGCCCAATCTGCCACTCCGTCCAAGTCTTCCAAGGTACAGTCGATCAAGGAACCCCAAGCGTCTGGCTCTGCATCAAAGGCTTCACCAACTAGCGATCAGGACAGTCCAAGATCGGTTCGCTTTGAAGAGGCGCTATCCCGCCCGAACATCAACGACGAGCCAGACACGCCCTCTCATCGACGCGGTTCAAGCGCCGTGCAAGCGCATCCTACCTCTTCACAGCCTCACACGCCTTCCAGAGGATCGAGACTCAGAAACATCCTGCCGGTCGAGGTGGAGGAAGACGAAGCAGAGAGCGAGTCAGATCATGCGGTCGAGCGTTTCGTCCTGCCTGGCCAGACACGAAAGCGCAGGCGAGCTGCGCCCGAGACGGCACCCCGAACGGCTCCCAGCTCATTCCTTGGTGATGACGACGAGAGCATACACATTCGTTTGAGGCACGAGAGATCACAGCTCGAGGAATGGCTGGAGAAGAACGCTGGATGGCTGGGCGCAATAGGAGATGAGGACGAGAACGAGGGCGGGCATTGGGATGAGGAAGGGTGGGGTCGTTTGGACACGAAAAAGGCAAGATGACGCCAGGTTTGCAGCGAAACCAGGGATCGTATGTCTTGCGGCCACTGGGCGCGCTTAGTGCTCACACATCCCCAAGCGTTGCAAAGCTCACACAAGCTTTTCCCGTGTGAACAAGTCAATGTAAAGAGTATGGATGCTGTATTAGCGCAAGAGAAAGAGTGTGTCCTGATTAGTACGATGACGGTGGTCTCAAAGAACGTCTGCGGGTCTGAATTAAAGATGAAGCCAAGGATGAAGACCTGCTCAGACAGCTTTCGGTGGTGGCTGATGCGCTGGAAGGACTGTGTAAAACGATGGATGGAGGCGAGTGGGGAGACTTTAAAGTTGAGATTGATCGGTAGTCAGGCTCCGAACCAAAGGGGTCGCAAGAATGACTGCAAGCAACAGCGGACGTGGCCGCCTGATCATCGGGCTGACAACCGAAAAGGCTGGACGATGGACTGTTCAGTTGCTCGCGCAGGTGCTGTTCGGCAACCGGAGAAAGATGGCGCCAGCGCTTCGGCGTATCTAGAACGGAGTTCGAGTGCATGTCCCCTACAGTCACAATCTTTTGCTCGGCGAGAGGACGAAAGCGTGCTTGAGACTCGATCAAGAAGACCCCTAGCCCGTGCATGTCGGTGGGAGGTTTGAAGGCTTGTGTCAAGGCAATGAGCAAGGGACGAGGCAGATGGTCAGCGGAGTTGTGAGCTGGTCTTGGACAGCGACGATGCACGTTCTCACAAAAGAGCAAGCTATTGCTGAAGGGTGTGCAAGCCCAAGCCAGTTTTGAGCGTGCAACCTCCTCAACAATCGCGCGACAAGAGGTTTGCCAGTCGGTAGATAGGGCAGACAACCATTGGCGCGCTTTCTCGAAAGGCGAAGGGGCCGCACCGGGCCAATCATCAGCATCTGGTCGGACAGTGCATGAAGTGGGCGGACGCGCCGGGTCTTCGCTTGTGGCTTTGCATGGGGGCGACGATTGGAAGACGTCGTGGATGGAAGAGTCGGTGTCAATGGTCAGGTCCCCTTCGAAGGTTTCGGTAAGATCGGTCAAGCCGGTCGACGTGGAGGACATCCGTCTGAGGGACCACAGAGGCGATGCGCTAACGCTGAACGAGGAGGGTGTGGAGTTGAGAGACGAGACAGATGTTGAGAGCATTGGCGAGGCGAGCAGATTACCTTTCATCGAGGACGTGGAATCATCTGCGACTTCTCCGCGATCCTCTACGGCATTCGTGCATGATGGGAAATAAGAGAGCTCCGAGCATGGTCCTGCCTTTGCCAGGTCGCGTCCATCCTCTGGTGCCGGGTCAGTCTCAGCATAGCACTCGCTTTCAATCGAGAAGCAGTGTGACTCACCGTTCTCGGAAGATTTTTCCCAAGTCTTGGCACCACAGCTGACTCCTTGCATCGAGCTGTAATCGCTGACAGGGGCTCCTTTGCGCGGTCCATTGACTTTGCTCTTCTTGCAATCATCTAGCAGACTGCTTGATTGTGAGGCCAGATCGCCTCGATGCACGTCGTGAGAGCGCGACGGGGGGCAGGGCGAGTCCGCGATAGCACGTCCTAAGTGGCCTTCGTCAGCAATGCTATCCAGGCTGCTTGCGATCGAGATGGTGCTGTCAGCCCTTTGCCTGGAATCGTCAGGCTGCAAGACGTCTTCGGGCGGAGCAGACAGCAGAATATCTGGCGCACACATGTACAACTTGGAGGCGTCGATCGTTTTTGTATGACCTAGCTGGGTCATTGACTTGGACGTCACGAGCATCCGAGATCTTGGCGGCCATTGGAAGCCCGAAGACGCGCTTGACAGACTCGTATCTTCTTCCCTAGACAGAGGCGCTTGACTAGGCTCTTCATCGTCGCTCTGCGCGCCAAGACTCAAAAGAGCAGACTGCCGCCTGTTCCCATTCTCGTCTTCCTCGTCTGACGAAGCCATCAAATCTTCGATGAGGCGCTGTTCATCTTCGGCCTCCGTGCCTGCGAGGCTAGCACTGTAGACCGTCGACTCGTAAGTTAGGACCGTGATGGCGCTATCGCACCGTCCAGCTCGCCTTGCTAGCCCCCAATTCTCTGGAGTGATTCGAGAGGGTACTTTGCAACTTGCTCGTCGGCGTAATGGTGTCTTCAGTGCGGGCGAATC